AGTGTGTCCTAATACAAATAGAACAAGACTATCATTAATATGGAACAAAAAAATACATACGGAGGTGGCAGATCATTAGATTCTGGTTGTAAATTGATAGTCTCAGGCTGAATATTCATTTGACGAGGCATTATGTCAACAGTTGTGATGGTTGTCATAGGAATATTGTTTTCACATTGAACAACGTTTGTTCGCTTCTTCCGATATCGATTAATAGCAACTAGAAGACGTACTAATATAGGAGAAATCCATTTGAGGATAAACATAATACCACCAGAAATACTAAGTACAGATGTCACTGTATAGAATGAATTGAGCTCTTGAATATAAGTATATGAACACAATTTTGGTGAACATTGATCAAAATACAATGAATAATTTACTGCTGTTAACCAGTTTTCAACGAAAAGATCATTGACGAGATCATTGATAGTTGTATTAATTGGAAATCGACTCCCATCGGTGATAAGAGGAGGAGAATTCATTTCATAACTGCTGTTAGTCTGCGTTTGAATGATATTTATACATGAATAATTATAAAAACATTCAAGAGTTGACTGAAGAAATGATTCGCTTGGTGTACAACCCATTTTTAAACCATTGACGGCAATTATTTCCGATAAATTCTTATTAATAAAAGTAGCTTGAATAGTACACGTTCTATTCAATATACATGAACACTGATTATCATACAGGACTTCTACAACGTATGAACGAAACTCTATGTTGGTTTGATCGAAAACGAAATCTCCGAACATAAAATTTGTTCCATAGCCTGATACAAGTCTATTTCCATGGTTTGCTGATTGAAGGAAAAAGAGAAGTCGAGCAAATATAACCAGAGCATTTGATTTACTTTCGTCAATTAGTACATTGACTTGTGAATTTAAAATCGTTTCTGTAATAATATTAGTAGTCACCAACGAAGAAGAAAGAAATTGATTGATAGAATCGTTGATTGATTGAATAGAAGATTGGCATAGACCTTTAAGAAATTGCAAATGGGCTGAAAGGAAACGTCGATAATCTTGTGTATCATAAATAGATAAATCAGAAACCAAACCATTCGTAAGATTAGTTCGCCATGCATCCGAAACAAATATACTTGAACAGACCTGTGATAAATAAGAATGTATTCAAGTTCGAATTAGCATCTTAGGATACCGGAACAATTCTTTAATAGACAATATATATTTTTCTTTCAGTAAAATATTAACATGACCCTCACAGATTTTGACTTAGTTGTTTTGATTTGACGATCTATCTGGAGGTAATACAATCAGATTTCCGCAAAGTTTAACTAATTATTGATTTTGAGTGAATCAAAATAAACGTTGAAATTCGATGCATACTATAAAGTTCTTCAACGCTTATAAGTTTCGTACTACTTGATTTACTGATTTATGTCTTATAACAAAAGAATATGTCGACAACGCATTTACATAAAAAGCTCTCTTGTTATTGCGGGATGTTAGAGAGATGAGGAATTCTGCTAATACTTAAGTTATAAAAACACATATATAAGCAAGTTGAGGGTGGAGAGTTACGGCTGTTGTGTAGAGAAAGATATTTTGCGAAATATTGTGCTATTCATTGACTATAGTTAAAATTCTGTCGAAATACGCTCATCATTTTTAATCTATTGGCATATGTATACACTACACTTCTTAGTACTAAAATCATCAGTCGGCTAGGTAAGACATATAAGCTCTCTGCTAAATTAGAGTATCAGTCAGGCTTGCAATGTTTAAAAAGTTTGGCATGATAACTAGTTATCCTATTCCGAAATGTGTAACATTTCAGGACCTAGTTCTCTCAACTTTCGGAATCGGTAGGAATTCCGTGCAATTCCGGAATCGGTCAATCTTGACTGGGTCTCTTATGTTGAGTGTCGATCGAGTTCTCGGAATTGGACGGAATCGATTCCGGTGCGGAACTGATTCATCCAATGTTCAACATTGCGGAATAGGATGCATTCTCATTATTAATTTCTGAAAATAATCACGTTTTAGTTGAATTACTCTGGTTGATCATTAGTCGAATCAGCCGTTGAAATGAATAAAAATCTTACCTGATGAAAAACTGGTTTTATTTGAATAAATTGACTGTATGTTGACGAAATCAATGAACAAGGACACTGAAGTGTATCACCATGCTCACGTAAAAGACGATTATAAACATTTAAGCTTGGTTCATTAAAACTTTTCGTCAATATTTGAGGTTGAACACCAATATAAATAATAATAATTGTAAGACTAGTAATGAATAAGACAATATATAAACGAGTGGACCATTGACCAAGACGTTTACCAGTCATTCGATCGGTATTACTTCCAAAACGCCATATAGGAAATATATTCAAATTGATCATTCCAGCAGATACCTGCATCATTGTCGTCAAGAACATTTTCTTTAATCGATCATATAATTTTGGTTTAACTATGTTAAAAACAAATTAATATTTTAACAACAAATTTTAAGATATCTATCGTGGAGGGGGTAGAAAAAGAAATATAAATCTCTCTCAAATCAGAACTAGAGTGCTCTAATTCAGGCTCTGGAGCTAAACCCTATAGTTGACTTTGGTTTCAGCTACAATTTCTCTTACAGAAACTGCTCGAAGATTCTATCTACTTATAAAATAATCGAATTAGAGAAGGCTTGTATATGAAATTTTGACGGATGTTCCAATGGAAAACAAAGTGATTTCACTTAGTTTTGTATTAATTTAATGATTTAAGATGATTTCCGAATGATTTCAATATAATTTCTACATTTTATATCAATTTGTTTTCTCTTGAGATATTCTCGTTACAGAGCATATTGCCTTATAAGAAGCTGAAAAAGAACAGATATAATGAAACTAACGAAATAGATTGATATTGGCAAGTCCTAGAAGAGAGAACGCTAAGGTCTATAGAACTGCAGGTACGAATTCAATCATCAAAAGTCATTGTCTTTTTATGTCATAATTATTTTTTTCTACATATAGTTCGTCATCGTAGCTACAATTTCTTCATAAAAAGATTTCGCATTACATCTATAGTTGAGTTAATATTTTTAGTTCTCCAGGGATTCCTCAAACTTCATATTCATTTTGGGTAACTTCGTAACGGGTCTATTTTTCCACTATGATTTGTATGAAAGATAAACAAGACTGAATGAAACTCTTATGATGTGTAGGGCACTACGAGTCATATATCCCTTTGACAATATCAGCTTCATTCAATTTGAATGGATGCAAATATTGAAGTAAGAAAGTGACAAAAATGTGATTTCGTCACACTTGGACAGGTCGAGCTACGACATGTAAAGAATATCAATGTACGTTCTGCAAAATATCCAATCAATAATTACCTTCATTTTGTCTTTTAGGAGTTCGTTTGAATAAATCAATAACAAACTTGGCAAGTAAATTTATACCAATACGTAGTACTACAGTAAGACTACTAATTATGGACACCAGTGCCACTAATACTCCAACGAAACTTTTTGTACGTGCAATCTGCGAATAAGTGCAATAGATTGGTGCACATACTTTCCAATACTGTTCATATGATGACGATGGATTCCATTGTTCGATCATTAAGTCTTCCATTATCGTTAAAAGCGTTGTGTTAGGAGGAAAACGGCTTGAAGTTTGGTTATAAATGAGAGGACTAACATTGAAATTCGATTGACTAGTACAACAGAGTAAACATAATGTAGGTGAGTTTAGATCAATATTAAAATAAATGACTTGTTAGATTCATTTAGAAACTTGTTTCATAATTCATGTTTTTTTCGTAAATAGATCTTATATTTTTATATGTTTTATTGAACAAAGTTTCTCATAAAAAATACTTATGAATTATTTAGACTTTCTTTCCTTAAAAATAAAATAAATGGGCTCAGCTATAGTTTATCTCATCATTAGTTTACCAAATGCATCTATAATTCAAGTCTTGCTTTTAAGATATGGAAGACACGATCAAATATAATCTTCCTTTAAATAAGTTGCGTCTTAATATAGATATTTGTCCAAACAATACTCATTTATTACATATTCTTAAAATGAAACGACTTATATTACTATGCCGATTTCAATATCTATTCGATGCTGGACTTTGAGTCCACTACTTATCACTGTTACAAATTATTATTTGAAATTCCAATAAGCAACGAATTAGTCTTGCTCGAATGCTTTTTTGAATAAATCTAATTGATAATGTTAGAAAATCGAGTATTCAGAAATCTGAGAATTCATGTGAAGTTTTAAGACAAATTATATCACCATATTTCATTAATTACAAAATGCTCCGAATAAGAATCAAAGCCACTACTTAAGAATCGGTATACAAAGTTCTTCCTATCTATATATATATATAAACAGATCTTATTCAGTGTTAGCTTTGAGTAATAAACAAATCTTAGAACAAGATTAAATGAGATCTGCAAAAGATTTTGTGAGGTTATCATGCTTATAGTATTATGGAATACTCTTTGTAAGGTTTTTTTGTAGGACTTTTGAAAAATCATTCAAATAAAATATTCTGAAATTGTTCGAGATAAAACCGAAAAATACTAGTCAATTAAGCACTAAATATTTTTCATATTGATGTCCTTTTTGTTTCTACTAATGTCTATCTTAATCCTATCAGTGAATTGACAAAATAAGGATTCTGATGTACGGACATCAGTAGTTTCAAGAATTATTCGTACTATTATTACATATATGATCATGAACTGATACTGTTCAGAATGCAGTAAACTCGTATAACTAGACTCACCATTGTACTCATATTCAAATTTCAATTACATTTCTGTTTGTCAATTTTTCATCATGTTATTGATAGTACCCTCGTATTAATCTCTATCGGTTTTATTAAGAGCTAAAACGGTGAGTTTAGCAAGAACAAAAGCAACAAACTACAATGACACTCATAAGAGATTATTCAAAAATACTGAAAGATTGATTTCCTCTATGAAAGACATTTCATACTGCTTTTCTCAGCTCAGATCCTAATGTTACGAGAATATTTGCTCATCACTTGGACGCAAAACGTAGTAAAATCTTATCTTTAATACATAAATAGAAAGAGTTTTTGACTTTGGTTGTGAGTACATAGTCCGATTTTTTTTTCTGAAATATATTTCAGCTCATGAAAAACTAAAGAATCTTTTATTACGAACTTCTATACCATGCTTCATATGGAAACAGGCTATATAACTTGAAAGAAGTTTTTAGATGAGTCTAGTAGGAGAAATTATCCGCAGCTAGCTCTAATTTTAGTTACTTACAAGGTTCCATTAGGTGTATAAAATAATAACATTGACAAACAATCCGAATCCGAATATAAACATTCGAATGTAGACAGAAGCAGAGAATCAACAGCAAAACAACTGGCAATCGCCCCTGGTACTTTGTAAAGAGGTATTTGAAGGTTATTCCCCATTGCTGGTATATTTTTATAGAAATAGTACGATTGTTGACAATAAGGATCAGTAGCACAAATACAACTAATAATTTCCACTGTATTTATTCCCCCAGTATCTGTATTTTCCACAATGATATTTGGCACTCCACTAAATCGTAATGTCAACTAAAAAGACAAGAAAGAACTATATTTT